CTAGTAGCGTAGCCAATCAAAATGCAGGATTTGCATTAGTCCACTAGTTGGGTGATACTAATACAGGATATAAACGACGTTTAGTCCCGACTGGTAATTCCTCTTTTCAGAAGGTAGTGGCCATTTTCAATTCTACTTGAATGCAGGCGGGTAGTTAAATTCAAGGCCAGCCTCCACTCTCTACGAAGCATGCTTTCATTTGATAATGATCAATAAGATAGCTCCACATTTCACAAACCTCAAGCAAATTCTTGTTACCTGCAAAAAAGAAATCACATAAAAATCATAATCATTATGGGATTTTATACGACGCACAGGAGCTTTTCACAGCGTAAAAACGTAGCAAGTGTAGAGTGTAGTGTGTAATGACTTATAGTAATACCACTGATGTATATTTATTACAAATGCTCACAGGTTTTAACTTATCTTACCGATAATAACAAGTCCTCGTTTCGCTCTGGTCAGAGCAACATTGATTTGATGCTCATCCGTTACAAATCCCAGGTGCTCTTTAAGCCACCCGCCGTCAGGCTCGTGGTTTATCTGGGAGTCTGGTAACGATCGGACCAAAGATATGATCACAAAATCGCATTCACTGCCTACGGGAAAAATGATTTATGGTCACTAGTCTCCTGGGTAGACTCAGCCGGTGAATGGCAGTTTTTGCCCATTTGTAGGCAATGTCGAGATTTTTACTGCTATTGATAATCAGTCTAGGCAGATAAGAGAAGTTAGATTCTAATGATCATGATAGGATGAAAGGACTATGGCATCAATTAAATTAGAACTACCACGGATACAAGCTAATACAAAAGGTTTCAAGGTTGTTTGATTGGTTGTGAAATTCACAATAGTCTTGACCATCGATTTAGCTGCAGTAGCAGCGCATAGAGGATGGAACCAGGCCACTATTTTGATTGGAAGTTGGCAATTCCATGATCACCAAGTGGCGACCCAAACTTTATGAGGAAAGGAAAGACAAAGCAAACGTGTGTCTTTGCAATCTTTCTTGTTAATTACTTCGTGACGTCACTCCAGCCAGGATCCCATACTAAGGGCGCAGTTTTGATATTCTCCCAACTATATTGGCACCATGATGACATAGAGACATATGTAGAATTGGTATATGAAAGGGAGGAAAAGTATCAAATTTTACCTGGGGCAACATGGCTTGGATTTGGGATGTGAATAGAAGATATTTATTGCTCTTGCAAAATAGCTAGAATGGTCTGCTATTTTGTTTTTACATTAGAAAAATTTGGCTGTGAGCTAGATGTTTCTTTTGGATATTAGTGTAAATCTACTAGCGTTCCGTCACGAACGCCGTTCTCTGATTGGCTACACTACTCACTATCTATTCTGTGATAGATAGTGAATAGCGTAGCAGCGTACCCTTGTTAACAAGACGGCCGCTTCTTTGGGTTTTCCGAGTGTCTGTGAAGAGGATTTAGATAACGTTTTGAACGACTAGTAGATTTATACTAAAACAATTAGATAATTCGCTCTCGCTTTCTCTGCGTGGTAGTTGACTCGGGCTGCGCCCTCGGCAGCTATCGCGCGATAGAAATTTCGTGCTCATAATCTAATTGCTTGATAGTTGGACAGAGGCGAAACGCTGAGCCTAAAGTCATCCGACAGAAACTGAGACTGGGTATGATAGCCTTAGCATAAACCAGCTGATAATATATTCCGATAAAGAATACCGATATGCGATAAACCAGGAGCCATAATCGGGGACGGAGACAGTAAGCGCGCGCCATTTCTAGTATTGGGGCTGTCCCCATGATATGGGACAATTTTTCTATTTTTAGTACAAATTGCGCCATC